AAAGTGTCCAAACCATTTTCATTAAACTTGGGCAAAAGACTACGACTCCTTGCAACATCAAAACACTGTAAATGAACTACCCGTCTGACACTGCACAACATTAGGTTGACTCTCCAGCCTACCTTCTTTGATCAATTGCAGTCTCTGTGGTTCAATATCCCATTTACGAAGTTCAACTTCTTGCTTTATTTTATTATTCTCCATTTCTAAGAGCAACAAATCTCTCTGCTGCTCATAAGTCAACGAAGAGAAACTTCTTGGGGGATTAACTTGTTCTACAGGGTCTTGAACTTCAGGTTTTTCTACAGGTTTATCAGCCCTAGTTGTAAGCACACCCAAGTCTGCTAAAGCTGACTTTACAATAAGTCCTACACCCTTTTAGACGTTTTTCCTTAGTTGTGAGTCAAATATCAAAGTGTGCGGCCACCTCTAATAATTCGTCTAGACATTTTTTCTAACTTCTCCTCAGTAGGATTTTTAACAAACTCCTGTAAAGCCATTTTCCCTCACAAAGCCAACCCAAAAACTGCGTTTAATTAAACAAATTCTAATCTCAAGAAACAAACCTCGCTACAATAAACAATTTAAAAATGCTTGCGGCCAAGAGAAAAAACAAACAACACTGCACAAAGCGATTTCACTTCTCGTTACCGATCCACAATATTAACTCATTAAACATTATAAATTCGCATTCAAACTGATAGAGAAGTTACTAACTGATGTTTCCTCTCCTTTTAACAAAATATTGCGACAAACTTATTAAACATGGCAGCGAAATCAAATGTTTGCCAATCACAATCTGAGAGCACTAACAAACAAACCAGAGCGCATGCAGGTGATTTTAATTAGAGTCAAGTTCAGTGCGCACAACTATGGCATTCTCAAACACATACCAATGAGAAAAAAAAAAACGTACATTTTGAAACGGACGAGTCCCCAATTTTGTTACAGTTCGGCTCATAACTGCAACAAAAAAAGGCGATCACAAAGAAATATGTTGCAAAAATATATTTGAATAAGTCTCTAGAGGAAGACATAACAGGGAAAATAGAATAAACATTCAAACGCCGACGATCACATCCACGACCACAAACTGCAGGGAAATAGCGAGGATCTGGTGGTGTAGAACAGTGGTTCCCAACCCTGGTCCTGGAGGCACCCCAACACTGCACGTTTTGCATGTCTCCTTAATCAAACACACCCGACTCAGGTCATCAGCTCATTAGTAGAGACTCCAAGACCTGAAATTGGTGTGTCAGAGAAAGGAGACATGCAAAATGAGCAGTGTTGGGGTGCCTCCAGGACCAGGGTTGGGAATGTAGCGTCTGGACCAATCAAAAACACAATTTTTCATTTGATTTAACAAATCAATTATTCATTGTGGGAGAGAGCGCTGTACATTCACTCCCCCCACCTACAATCCCTGCCGGTACGAGACTCGAACCCGCAACCTTTGGGATACAAGTCCGACTCTCTAACCATTAGGCCACGACTTCCCCTGTTAGGTATCATTTGCACCTTTTTACAAAGGTGAGTTTAAGTGTTTATGTAGTTAATAAAGTCTTACTTGTATCACACTTGACGTTGTTCATTGTTTGCTCATAACTGGAGTCACTTAATCATGCAGATTTATGCTACAAGCTCTTTGTAGAATTGTACAGTAAGAAAGTTATTTCCCTTAACCAGGAAATTAACGTTCTTAGAATTGACAGACAGTTGACCCTGAGAGGTCAGCTAAATATCTACAGCGGATCTAAATATTTATAATTAATTATAACTAGTTATGATTAATTATTCATATTTCCCCATGAGCTGATTCGCTACAGGAACCTCTGGTGTAGAAGTTCCAAACCAAGGACACCGGACACCTGCCACCTGTGCCCATTCTTGCAAAAGCAAGAACAAAACAACAGAACAACTCCCACCCTTGCTAGTTAGAAAACAGACATTTAAATATCTGCAGACAGGTGTTCCCAATCACAAACGGACATACTCCGATGACGAACAAAAAGAAAAAAGAAAAACACGGCAAGACCGTGACACTACATATAACAAAAATATGCTATTTAAATTTTACTTTGTAGAATACACAAACATTGTTATAATTTATAACTGCGATGGTTTGAAATAAACATATTAAACCTTTAGCTAAAGAAACTTGTGTGACTTTTTACTTGAAATACTGTATATAGGCTATTTTATATACAAAAACCTAGCAGGTATTTTTCACATTAAAGGTGCTGTATGTAAGTTTTTGACTCTACTAAAGCGTAAAAATGCCATAATATGTTTGCAGATATTTAAGAAACATGCTAAGTTAACATACTTGTTTATCTGAAAAACAATGCTACAGGTTTTGGTTTGTGTTTGACTCTACTAAAGCATAAAAATACCATAATATGTTTGCAGATATTTAAGAAACATGCTAAGTTAACATACTTGTTTATCTGAAAAACAATGCTACAGGTTTTGGTTTGTGTTCCTTTAAAGGTGCTGTATGTAGGATTGACACCGAGTGGTTGAACTAGGTATTGCAGTCCAAATTCAAAATATTGGAGAGGGTTTTTTCACCCGGCCCCTCCTCCTCAGACTTGACGCACACGCAGGTTGCCAGATTGACGACACCAACAGGAACGAGCGCACTTGACAATGAATGATATGAAGTATGTTGTTTTTTCCGCCAACTGGCAACCCGGGGTGCCAAAATACAATTGGGTAAACTGGCAGTGGGCGGGAATAACTGACTGTAGCATTGTTTTTCAGATAAACAAGTATGTTAACTTAGCATGTTTCTTAAATATCTGCAAACATATTATGGTATTTTTATGCTTTAGTAGAGTCAAAAACTTACATACATCACCTTTAAGTCGAAGCACTTGCTTTCTAACCCTCAATAGTCTACTCACACCACCTTGTGGCCTTAACCCTCTATGGTACGGAGTTGCCATATGGCAACAATTAATTTCTACTCATTTCCTTGTTATTCTGAAAAAACTACAATATATTGCATTATGGGAATTAAAAGGGTAGGCCTTAAGGTAGCCAATGATGTGCTGTTTTTAAGTCACATGACAACTGAATGTCCCTCCAAAACTCCTTTTCCCACTGTCACCCTCACACAGAAGACACCTGTTGAAGTGCTCCAGAAATTGCTCTATTAACTTAATTTCTAAACATCTTTTCTCAAGGGGGATTTTTTTGCAACATCTTTGGTAAGTAAATTAGATATTTTCATTCACAAATCAATTTTGTCTAACATAGTTTTACTGTAAATTAAGAAAATATCAAAGTTGCCATATGGCAACTCTGTACCACTATGGAAAAATAGGTGCGTTGCCATATGGCAACACTGTACCACAGTGGAATTGCAGTAATGTATTTCCCCATTGGGATTTTTTTTATTGATAGTAGCATCAATAATATGATTGCAGTTACTTATTTATTTGAAGTGTTTATTGTAGTATAGTTGTATTTATGTATAAATAACAAAATTATGTATTCTTTTCAGAAAATGAATACAGCAATATTTTATGGAAAGGGCAATAGGAAGAGTGCAGAGTTAGCTCTTCCATGTGATGAGAGTGAGGATGAGTTAGCCTTCAGTGACTGTGGAGGAAAGGAAGACCTCTAATACAGAACATGACAGGAACCCTGCAAGGGAAACAAAGAAGAGGCCCAGTGGCCCCCAGTGTGCCTGATCAAGTCAGGTTGGACCAAACAAGCCACTGGCCTGTCATGGAGAAGAAAGGGAAGTGCAAATACCCTGGCTGCAAGGGGATCGTCCGCATGAAGTGCAGCAAATGTGACTTGCACCTTTGCATCACAGCTGAAAGGAACTGCTTTTTGCAGTTTCACGGGATGCCATGAAATTGGCAACTGCTAGTTGGTCAAACTAGTTCTTAAGACACAGTCTTAACATGGTGACTAAGTTTATGCAACTGGCCCCAGGTCTGAACAATCCATGTAAACAATGACTATACAGTATTCACAGTCCCTTTAAGCAAAGTATGGCAATTAAATGCCAGTTACTGACTAGTTCTTTTATATCTTTCAAGGCAACAGTCATGCAATATTTGTTGTGATTGCTTTGAGTAATGCCGAGTTCACACTGCACGATATTAGCCCGATTTTCCACTCGCCGACAGGTTTTGTGAAACCGCCGACAAATGGCCGACATCGGAGGCAAATCGGTGCTCGTTCACGCGAGTGACAATCATGCAGTGTGTATTATCAAAGACGCGATCTGAGGGAGTCGCTGACACGTCGCCGACGCCCGCAAAATATTTGGCATGCTAAATATCTGGAGCTGCTGGCGCTTCACAATCACGCTGTGTGCAATGATTTATGACTGAAAACTACATCGGCGATGACCTACAGCCAATGAGAGACCAAGATACAGGGCAGAGGGAAGTTCAGGGAGGAGTTATAGACCAGAATATCAGTATTTTAATAGATATCTGAACAATTATATCATACAGAAACAAGCACAAACATTTGCTTGACCAGCCACAACATCAGCATAACAGTTACTGCTAAATTATTTACCTCCAACTCTCTTTGCAGAACACCCAATCCCTGTTCCCTGCATCTCCCTCCTGCATAATCTGTTTTTCTTTTTCTCCTTGTAGCTGGAAATCAGCTCACTGACAATTTGCGGGCTATATATATATATTTGAATAATTCAGTCTTGCTCGAGAACTCCGGTCTGACGCACTCGGGTTCTCGCGTTATTTCCTTATCACTTCTCGCGTGTGTTTTGTTGTGAAATGTAGTTTGCGGACCAGACAGAGCTGTCGGCGATTCTTCCTATTGTGAAGTCATGCAGTGTGAAACCCCCTGTCACCGATCCATCGTGCAATGTGAACACAGCAGCAACTGAATGCTACCCCAGATAGTCACGCAGTGTGAAAACAACGGCGATCCGACGAGTTTGAAAATCGTGCAGCGTTAACTCGGCATTACTTGCTCTTTGCAGTTCATGAAACTCACCGCCGAGCACGTCTAAGCTCCGCCTTCTCCTCAACTTTGTTGACTGCGGCGGAGACGCGCCAGATCACTCGCAGCATCTTTCTAAAGGACGTGACTAGACTGAACGGATAGAGAATGGATGCAAACGTCGTGGTACTCGGCACAGACAATGTTGGAAAATCTGGTAAGTTTATTTTTTGCATGTATATTATGATATACAGCCATAAAAAAAGCATTTATTTCTGCTTCAGTCATCTTTTGTAACTTTAAGAACATCTTGCCGCATAACCTAACGCTCATAGGACTTTTGTTTTGCAGCACTTATTGTCCGATTCCTGACTCGTAGATTCATCGGGGAATATGGGGATATTGGTATGTTGTCTTTTCACTGACTGATTTATAAGTTTTCTTTTATATTTTTTCATTTCACTATAAATGATACGTTGGTTTCTCTGCAGAGTCCCTTTACACTCACAATGTTGTTGTGGATGGACGAGAGCAAACTCTGAATATATGGGATGCGCCATATTCACAGGTGATTCAGTGTTTCAGAACCAGTAGTAAAATTCAGGATTTTTTTGTTAACTTTTTGTAAACGATTTAATCTTATTATTATTATTATTATTATCATTTAATTTATATTGAATGATTTTCAAATATCCCTGGTGGAGAAAAAAAAAACAGCATAAACCTGCTTAAGATAATATGCTGGTTTCCCAGCCTGGTTAGGGTGGTCTGTTAGCTGGATTTATAAGAGTTTTGGACACTTTGTGTAACTTGTCAGGCTAGGTCAGGGGTAGGCAAGTTCGGTCCTAGAGAGCCGCACCGGTCCTTCAGCTCCAACCCTGAAAACAAAACTCACCTGCCTATTGTCTTAGTAATCCTGAAGACATTGATTAGCTTGTTCAGGTGTGTTTGATTAGGGTTGGAGCTGAACTCTGCAGGACTGCGGCTCTCTAGGACCGAACTTGCCTACCCCTGGGCTAGGTAAACCAGCTGCATGTACAGGCTAGAAGACCGTCTAAATCCAGCTAAGACCATCAAAACAGCATAGGCTGGTTTCATGTGTTTTTTTTTTCTGAATAAATGTAAAATGTTCTGTAATGAATAACAAACTTTTAATACACTATCTGAAATGTTGAATAAATACCCAATGGTCGTCTTCTCAGCAGGACCTGTCCTCCGAGTCCTTGATGTGTGAGAAGAGAGTCCAGTGGGCAGATGGCTTTGTGCTGGTCTACAGCATCTGTGACCGGTCCAGTTTCAACGCGGTCTCCAGACTCATTCAAATAATAAAAACCACTAGGGACTTTCTGGGCTTTGAGAAGATGCCCATTGTTATTGTGGGAAACAAGAGGGACCTGCACCATCGCCGTACGGTCCTCAGCGAAGAGGGCAGGCTGCTTGCGCTGTCTGCAGACTGTCAGTTTTATGAGGTTTCAGCTGCTGAGAACTACCACAGTGTCCTCATGGTTTTCCATGGGCTGGTGGATCGAATCAGGGAGTCCAGAGTGTCTGTGAAAAAGTTAGCAGGCATCAAGGGCATTGTGAAGAGCATGTCTGCAGTGTTCGCCCGCAGGCGAACAGATTCGCTGTGAAGCTGATGGGAGCTCTGGAAATAAAGCTTATGTGGTCTGATATGACCTATTTTAGCTTCATTGAGAGGGATGAGCCATTGCTGTGGCTTGTATGAGAGTTTGGGATTGCTCATGTGACTACAGCTGGATCTTCCGCAGGGGCAACTAAGAGACTGCCCTAGTATGTCTGCTAAGGTGATGGCTTCCATTGAGAACATGTTGAAATCGGAGAGTTCTCAATAAAATGCTTAAGATGCTTTGTGGCAGCAGATTATATCAATCATAAGTGGAGTTAATATTCCATTGTATGAAGATAAATATGTAATTTAACCTCCTCTACTTACTTTAAAAGTAGTAGTTCAGCCAAAAATGAAAATTTGCTGAAAATGTACTCAAACTCAGGCCATTCAAGATGTAGAAGAGTTTGTTTCGTCTGAACAAATTTGAAAAAATTTAGTGTTACATAATTTGTTTACCAATGGATCCTCTGCAGTGAATGGGTGCCGTCAGAATGAGAGTCCAAACAGCTGATAAAAACACCACAATAATCCACACAAACAACTGTTTTTGCTTCTAAACATTACTTGATCTGTGCATATTTCTCTCGAATCAGATGAGAGGACTTTTAAACTGGAGAAAACAATATTATGGATAGAGGACTTGTATTTCAGCCAGAAGGATTGGTTTGACATTAAAATTTCTTCATGCATTTGTTATTACAAACTCGCAGCATTTTGCTTCACACGATGTGAATTGATGGCTGCATTCATGTTGATTACTTGTGGATTATTGTCATGTTTTTATCAGCTGTTCTGACGGCACCCATTCACTCTAGCGGATGTACTGTAATGCTAAATTTCTCCAAATCTGTTCAGATTAATGAAAAAAGTCATCTACATCTTGGCTGGCCTGAGGATGAGTACATTTTCAGCAAATTTTCATTGTAGGGTCAACTATTCCTTTTTGAACGGGAAAGATGTCAGTGATTCTGCAAATAATCATGAATGTTGGAAGAACGTAAACACTGTGGTGATGACGGCCGTGGGAATTTTTCATGAGTCGATGCACTGTGGCCTAAAAAATAAGCTGACGCAAGACAACATTGTCTTATGCTACATTTATCAAATACAAAAGTCTCCAACAGTATCAGGAATTATTATTCAAAGACCTGTTATCAGTTCAAGGCCGTCTTTTGCATTTCAATTACAATGTACTGTTTGATGATTGTGTCTGTGTGCATTCAGATAACAGCACAGAATGTGTTATTTTCCCCCAGCTTCTTTTCTGAGGCTGTTCAAATGCTTTATGGAGAACATGTATTCAGATAACAGCGCAGATTGTGTTATTTTTCCCCAGCTTCTTTTCTGAGGCTGTTCAGATGCTTTATGGAGAACATGTATTGCTTTCTAGACCAAACTGTTTAATAATTTTTGTGTTATAAATCTAATAAATCAAAGGAACACTTCCCCTGAGTGCCATTGTACAGTGCAATGTTACAATCAGTAAATGAATATGCTGTATTTGTGTTGAATACATTGTTACACCAAAAACAGGGTGGTCAAAATATGTTAACTTTGGTTGATGAAAGATTCCAGATAGAAGTTTAAAGGGAAACAAATGCAATGAATACATGGTGTAAAGCTGACAGTTTATGTACATGAGGTTTTATTTATCAACAATCTAAAAAAAAAAAAAATCATTAATTTATATTTATAGACCACAATCAGGCATTATAAGTGTGCAGGTAAAGATTTTAATCAGCTCTTTGTGTTATGACTAAAGAGGTGTTTGGACAAATTAAGTTCAACGTTAATATTAGTTCCATAAATAATCTAAAATAACTGAATAACCTTTGCTGTAATTGTCATTCTGGTATTTTTAAAGTGAAAAAAAAAAAAAAACATTTGAGGACTTTTACACCTAGCACACTGTTCACTCAAACATACAATTGGCAGGGACATGGTAAAAACATGACTATGAAGTATATAATTTATTCCTGTACTTAATGGGTTCGTTTTCTTTTTAGCTGAGTCACAACTGCGCAGTCTTTGCTTAATGAACCTGTCATGTAGAGATCAAATCTCATTCCTCACATCTTGGGTTTTCAAGGGACGTCTTATGGAAAAAGTGTATGATCACCTATTGCTGTGACTGGTGCCCTGTGTCATTAATGAGATTTGCAAGTATAGTTACTATTATATAACCAGTCACAAATAATGCAAGATAACTGTAACTTCATGAGATTCCTCTAGCACACATTGTATTCATTATTACTTAAAAAGAAAAATACTGAAGTCACACCACAATTACTAAATCAGCATTTTTTTCCTAACTACAATAGTGATCAAAAGTTTGGGATCAGACTTTTTTTTTAAAGAAATTAACATTTTTATTCAGCAAGTATGCATTAAATTTGTTTCAAGTAAATGCTGTTCTTTTGAACTTTCTATTCATCAAAGAATACTGAAAAAAAAATTATCACTATTTCCACAAAAACATTAAGCAGCACAGCTGTTTTAAACAGTGATAATAAATGTTTCTTGAGCAGCAAATCAGCATATTACAATGATTTCTGAAGGATCATGTGACACTGAATAATGCTGAAAAATCAGCTTTGACATCTCAGGAATAAATTACCTTTAATATTAATCTTCCAAAAAAAAAAAAAGAAAAAAAAAAGTAAAGTTGTAATAGAAGTAAAAGTAAAAATCATACCTATCCCAAACTTTTGAACAATATTGTGTATTAGTTCCCCAGCATGATTTATATGCACAACAAAATAACTTTGCTTTATTATAGACAAGAATTGGAAAAACACCATCCAGAGCCTCCATATGTATAACTATATTTAGGTCACTGACTATTGAGTTTCGCATGGGTAAAGGTGTTGACGTACCCCTCTGCCAGCACTTTAGAAATCCTGACCCATGACTGTTATGCCTAATGCTTTAAATGAACATGACAGACCTGCAGGATAAATAATGACAACTGCATCCCACTCTGATGGTCTACGCTCCATTCTTATTCTGCAGTAGGGGCAGCATTTCTGCTGTTTTGCACTGTACGAGTGTAAGAAGAAGATGATGATGAGGAGATCTGGGTGTAATCTGTCAGACTCTTCCTTGGAGATCTGTGGTTGGGTGCTTTCTTGTTGTTGCCGCCATGAACTACTTTCTGCTGCATAGGAATCTGCTTCATGACCTTCTTCTTCAGCTGACGGGTCTCCTCTAATATCTCCTTGAGCTCTGTAACCTTAGGAGGCTGCTTTTGAGAGTTGTTACTGGGACTGTGCATTTGGTCTCCTACATTAGTCTTCAGCACCAGGAAGCCATTCTCACATTCTTCTGATCCATCTTTTTCCGCCAGTTGGGAACCTCCTTCTGGCTTGGAAGATCGCCTAGGAATCTGTTATGAAAGAAAACAAAGCCATTCTTTAGTTTTCCACATGGGAAGGCTCTCAAAGGAAGCAGAAATTATGGAATTTGGCAGTCAAGTACTACTGTTAATTCAAGCTAACGTATAACCGTTAAAAACAAGCAAATCACAAGATGAAAACATCAAGTATTCTTGATGTTCAGACAACAACAGCGACAAAGACAAAGTCCCACTCATATAAACATTTTGATTGCAGAAAATTTGCTTTGTGGCTAGGCCTAAATGTGGTTGGACTGTCTCTTTCACTCATTTCAAACACCATTTTTTAAATTACACTCTAAACCTATTATGTTGTGAGTAATGATTCTCTAAAATACCAAATGTCTTCAAAAATACCATCAGGAAGGCACGAGCCACACAGCATCTCCCTGTATGTGGACAGATATCCAGCTGCTAGAGGGCAGAGTAACTTTGGTGCCAGACCTATTGGAGTCTCCTCCTTTTGTCTAGCTATTTTATGGGATCAAAAACAGTCCCAGGCCAGGGGTTAAATAGGGAGGGATGGATCTGTCTGTGCGACTGAGCTCTGAGCTACAGTGAAGGCTTAAGATCTACTTCATTAAAGGGATAGTTAAAATTCTGTCATCATTTCACCCTCATGTCATTCCAAACTTGTAAAACTTACTGTTTTCCGTAAACACAGATATTTTGAAATGTTTTTTTGAAAATCGTCTCATCGTTTTATTTTTTGTTTTGTTTTCCCCAATGATTTGGACCCCATTGCCTTTTATTGAGTGCATAAAAACAGTTTCTTCAAAATACCTTCTTTTATGTTCCACAGAAGAAAGTCAGTCGTTAAGGTTTGGAACGACAAGAGGGTAAGTGATGACAGGGTGAACTATCCCATTAAGACTTCAAAACTCCAAACTTGTGTAAAGACAAAACACAAAAACTAAAACACACACAAAAAACCAACAAAAAAAACCAACAAGACAGATTGAAAAAAAAAAACAAAAATAATAAAAAATAAAAAATCGTAACCTAGGCAAAGATTTATGGCACAGGGCCACAAATGGGAAGGTTGTGGCACCGAAATTGAAAAAGAAAGGCCAAAGAAAGTTTCTATGCAATTTTCCGTAGCCAGGCAGATCAGAGTAGTTAGTACCTTATCTACTTCTAAGAACATGAAGAAACGTGTGGTCTCGGCTCTTCAGTGTTAACACTGCTGTGCTATCACAAATCTTCCACTCCAGATTTTCCACTCAGTTAAACTCACCCAGACCCTTAAGAAACATGTAGACACAAGCATCAACATATCTCTCCCCTTCACTTCTACAGATAAGCTCAAGAGCAAAAACAAAGAGACAAAACAACCCATATATTCATAGAATGATAAGATCATCTGTGAGACGTTAACTTAGTAGCACAGTCGAACCAAATTTAAAAAACATTATGTGTAACAAAGGTACAAACATGTGCCCAAAACACTCTAAATGTAATTTTAAACTGAGGTAAAGGTCATTGAATTTCATTAATAAACATAAATTTATGCAACTGCACTCATTCGTTTTTGGTCAAATTGCTTATATGCAGTTTGTTGCATCACAGATGTCATCTTCCAGCTGCTTTCTGGGTACTGTGATGTAATAATCAACGTCTCTGTACCCAATTCTGTCACTTCACATGTGTGATGTTTGTGCTAGCGGTCTGTGGCTAATTACAATATCAGACCATGTTTCCTAGAAGTAACCAGTGGGGTTTGTCCTACTGGTGGACATCTTCCAGTGAGACTCGCCTGCTGTTTTTCAAGGAATTCAAGACCAATGTTGCAAGAAGAACAACTTTGAATGATTCATTAGATTTTCTCTGATCTCATCTGGAATACACACTGCAATATAATTAATGGGGATCTAAACGGGGATCTAAAATATCTTTTATTACATCTCGATGACTACTAGGATAAAGAATCCACTGCATCTGGGAATAGGTATTCAGCGTGTAATGAGAAACTAAAGCTCTGCAGGCTGGAATCGGTTCAGGTCTTTATGAACCTGTAATTACTAAGTTAGTATTACTAAATATACTAGGTTTTTCTAGGCTATTTATAGCAATGACACTTAGTGAAGTGTTGACTCAAATTATTCACAGAATATGAATGATAACGAATGAGAATTTATAGCAATGAGTGATTTAAGGCTGAATTAATTTTAACAATGTGCTCAGCTCCAGTTTGACCTGCATTCAAGCAAGGTACATAAACCAATACTTCAGTACCATCATAAGGATAAAAATAAATTAATGAGTTTAATTAATTCTACATTTTCATTCTGGATTGGGTTTTATTTTCTTAGTAGGAGGATGTCCTGTGTCAACTGGATCTGACCCCTTAATTGTGTTAGAACAAAGCTGGAGGACAAAATAATGTAATATAATAATATATACACTACCGTTTAA